TATGTCCCTTATTTTGTCTTGTCTGCTGTTTGGTACTGAGCAGAGTACAGTTTCTTTTTTTTTAGCTTTTTTGCTGAAAGTAGCTGCGTGTTGCTGCTGCTGTAAATGAGGGTGAATCAAAACGGTAAAGTTGTAAGCTGTAAAAAGTCTGAAAGGGTCCGTCGAGCTTAGGGGAACTAATAATTCTTTGTAGTTTCGCTGCTAAGACCGAACCCAAAGTTTCACACATAGCAGCTTTAACAATTACTTACATTTGCTAATTAATTGATTGTTTTTTTTTGTATATTAACTGATTAATTGTTTTGTCTATTCAATGGAAAACAGAGAAATGTCCTTCACTAGTTCTCCGAGCCCAAAGTGTATTCAAATAGCATGTCCTGTTTGCCCAACAGTCAAAAAACCCCAAAGATAATAAAACTACAATGATTCAAAACGACACGTCCTGGCGGCACCGACCAACAATGCCCACAGTCCCTGTCATGTCTACACTCCTAGCTGCCCAAATTTAGGCAAAAAGAAAAAAAAAAAACTGCCAAAATAATTAAAAGAATTATATAAAACTGCAAGAAGCAGCCAAAGTTATTAAAAACTCAAGAAAACAATAAGAACAAGGCTCAGTGATTGTTAAATGACTTCAACTGTTAATCCGTTATCACAATTTAGTCCATTTTGATTGAGTGACTAAAAGCAACAGCTGCCTCAGTGCTACAGACAAGCTGGGCTGAAAACTACATTTTCTGTTTTGCAGGATTTCCTTTTTCCAAGTTAATGGTGAGGAGAGTCCATGGAGGGCGATCGAGCCGTGGAGGTGCAGCACGGGTCGGGCTCTGTCGAAAGGCTAATGGCCCACAGAGTCACACCAGGTAAAAGCCTGCTGAAAAATTTGAAATGTACCACGACGAAATATCACTTCAAGCACGGAATATTGGAAAAATGGAGCAATTCTGAAGAGGGGGCAAGTGGGACAGTGAGTGTGTGAGTGTGTGTAGGTGTGTGTGTGTGTGTGTGTGTGTGAGTGAGTGAACGCATAGAGGAGCTGATCCTATCAGACTCTTGTCAGGTCTTGTTGGGTTTCTCTGTATAAACCTGTGAGCAAGGAGACTTGTGCTGCACTTACACTTTTTTTTAACCCCCTTCCTGTCTATATGTCTCTCGCTCACACACACACACTCACTCACACACACACACACACACACACACACACACTGTCAGTCTCTTCCTGTTTTCCTCTGTCTTTCTACATTCCCCCTCTTCTCCCATCATTAGTCTCCCCATGTCTCTTCTTGCTCCCTCCCTGGAGCTCAGTGAGGATTTAGGCCTCCTCTCCTTCTAGACTCACCTACATCCTTTCATCCTGTTCCCTCCTCTCATCATCCTCCTCCTCACTCCCCTCTCTGTCCTTTCCTTTCTTCCCCCCCCCCCCCCTCTCCTTGCTTAACCTGCTTCCTGAGCCCAAAAAATAAACCCACACAAGCAAACACATACAATGCACATGCATTCAGAATCAAGCCCAAACCCATCTGCAGCCAGCAGCACAACATCTAATCCTTGTGCTTGGGGAGGAGGGGGGGACCTTGCAGTCATCCCTGCTCTCGTTCTGCCCCAACATTCATTTTCTTTTCTCTTCTTCAATCATCTCCGTCCTTTAATGCATGCCCAAAATCCCAATGGTAGGTGTTGCTTTGGAGGACGCCCTGGAAGAAGTCCAGTGCAGCTGCCACTCATGTGCCTGCGAAGGAGCATGCAGACCTGACGCTCAAAATCACAAAAGCCAATTTCACTCATCGGCACACCTTCTTGAAGTAAGCTGGTGTAGTATTTGGTTGCGGTGAAGAAGCTGAGACCCCGTTAAGCTCTGCATGACACATGACTGAGAGCAGCTGGTCTTGAAGCGGCCCGCTGCACTGGACGTTGCTGCCGCCCTGTGGTCGCCCGCCTGAACCGCACCCCCCTCTTCTATAATGACCGTTTGATTTTTAGAGGAGTTGCATCACGACCCTCCCTCACACACACACACACACACACACACACACACATACCACCACCTCTACCTCCCCTCTTCATCCACCCCCACCACCCCCACCATCACTACCACAACCCCCTCTCCCCCCCCTCTCTGGGTTGGATAAATATTGCTGGAAGATATATAACGTGTTGCTATGGTGATCAGCTCGTGTTTTTTTTTTTATGGCATTTGTGGAAGACAGGGACATGCTGGGGCACAGGGAGCTCTGAGGATCTGGTGTGTGTGTGTGTGTGTGTGTGTGTGTGTGTGTGTGTGTGTGTGTGT